GCATTTCTGGTTAGAGAACCTCAGTTTGTTGTTTCTGCTTAAAAGTGATAATCCCCCCCTTAATACAAACCTCAAGTACCTATTTTAATGAAACCTTCAGATGAATATCAAAGAGCTATTTACTCGTATCTAATATTTTAATTAGATTATATTCTCAATTTAACCCATTAAACCCCCTTTGATGATCTCCATGTTTAGTGTTTAGCCCCAGATGCTGGAGGTAATGAATATTGGACCTTTGCTTTAATGAGAACTTCTGCCTTTCCAGCCTGACTCCCTTTGTATCCCCTTTTTTTATTTTCTGAGCTATAGAATTCAGTTAATTGAAGAAGTCTCTTACCACCACACATTAAGGAACCTAAATTAGCATCCCTTTTCTGATTAGAAAATGCAAGCAGACATTTTCTCTTTGATCTGAGGATTGAGTTGAAGTAGGCAACAGCTCCCTGAAAATGAGCTGATGGCCTTATTATTTGGCTGACATGCAGATGCGTCCATGTGGTGCAAAATGCTTAATGTCTTAATTGATCACCTTCCTCCCTATCTGTCATCTCACTACCTTGTAGAGCTCCCATAAATTAAGATGACCTTTGTGGGTAGGTGGTGTGGGTTTTGCTTTTGTTTTCTTAAATAAAACAACAAACTTTGAAGAAATATTTAAATACTAAAGCTGTGCATATTTATATGATGCTGCTTTTTGGGGGGTATATATACATATATATATATATATATATATTTTTTTTTTTTTAAGTCTGATCATCTCACAAACCATTTGGAAAGCGCTGTATCTTTTTTTCCCCAGGAAAAGACATTATTTGCAGCATATGTGCAAAGAAAATCTTTTGATCTACCTCAATACTAATGCAAATTCTTCCTGCACCTAACAGATATGGTGGCACAAAAAGGGACCATCCAAGTAAATGATGAGCATCCATCTGCTTAAAAGCAAAGGCCAAAACTTAATGTCTTTCAAATTAGGAAGGCGAGGAATTTAAATAAGAAATAGGCTTTGAATTTTGCATTAAGTATTCAGAGAGAGATTTAGTTGGAGTAGAACCTGTCTGCTGTAGCCCCATGGCTGCAGCACAGCTATTTGCAAAGCCTGGTGTTATTCACCATGAGCACAGGCTGCCTTGACAGGGGCAGAAGTGTTTTTGTGTTCACCATACAGTGGAAATTCTCAACATTCACTTGGCAGGCCTCTTCTACTTGCCACCATACTTTAATGTTTTAGATTGGGAAAGTGTAGAAAACAATTCTTTGACTCCACTTTGAGTCAGGAAGGCATACTGGGTGGTTCTGATACGTGGAAGCATTCAAAGCTTTCATGATACCTATGCCAAATGAGAGACCCTTGGGTAGTGTCACCTGTCAGCCTTCTGAAAACAGTCTGATCTTTCTGAGCTTTTGGATCTTTTCTCTCATCACTCCACAATGGGTTGCAATAAAAGGTGATTCTGGATTCCCTTGTTTCCCCTCTTCCCTGAACATGGGAAGCCCTGGAAGGGCTCAGGGGAGCTCCAGGCTTTACAAGGAGGCTGGGAGGTGCACGAGAAGAGGCAGAGGTGTGAAGAAAGGACTGATTTTGGTGGCTGCCTTCATGGTGTGAGGAACAGCTCTAGAAGCACAAAGTCACAGTGATGGGTTAACACAGGGAATCTCTTCTTCTGGTGACAGCTGGCAAGGGTGAGGTAAAGCAGCCTGCCTTACACAAGGGCCTGCTTTGAGCAGAAGTGATGCTGAGCCAAAAACCTGGATAGAGCAGGTGCTAAAGAAGCATCCAGCAGCTCAGCAAGAGCTTCGTGTAATGGGGCAGCTGCAGGTAACACCATGGAGCTGCTGCTCTGTGTGTCACTAGGAGCAATTCAGGGCTTGTTGAAGCAGTGACAGCAAAGCACAGTGGTGGGGAACATGGAGTCTTCAGGAGAGCAAGGTGAGCTGTCTCAGCAAAAGCAGAACGAAGGGGAGCACAGAATTTGGACAGCTTGCTTTTGCTCCTGAAAACTCAGAAACATCTATCAGAGAATTAAAACCAACTTCTGCCTTGAAAGACTGCACAGGATGAAAGGGCACTGAAGTTCTTGCTGAGATCACCCTTCCTTCTCTTAATCACACTCTCTGTATCCACCTGCCTTTACCACTAGGTGCAACACACTGCTACTGCTGCAGCAACACAGAGCTCATCGACAGCTGTGGTCATCCCATAGCAGTTCCAGCAATGGAGCTACAGGTGTTTCATCTAAGCTTATTATGGTATAGAAACAAGACAAATCCAAGACAGAAATAAGCCACCTTTAAGCTGAGTAAGACCATCCCAGCAGGAACCTGCAGTTAATTAGGGTGATGCTGTTTGTTACTGTGAGCAGAGAGGAGGAACAAACTCACCATCAGTTCAGGAGGCTGCAATGCTTTGTGCTCGCAGTGCTGTGGTCAGCATCCTTCTCACCTCCCCCAGCCCTCTTCTGGGCCACCTGCAGAAACTTCATGTTGCCAATGGAAAGAAATCACACTGCCCATTACCCAGCACAGAGAAGGAAGGAATCAGGTTGTAAAAAGGAATTCACACTGCTCTCATTGTGCCTGGATCTCTCATTAGGCACTGCCACAGGTTTGGATACACTGAGAGACTGAGATCACCTGTGCTTCATAGCAAGATTGGGTAAATAATTCTCCATCCAGCCCACGTACCTGATGATGTGTGATCAGAACATGGACTGAAAAAACCTAGGTCGGGAAAGCTTCCCTTAGAAGTTACAAGGGGAAACGTTGAACATAAAACAAGTGTTAATTGGGAGATTTTATAGATCCATCTACATTGTATTTAATGACAACAACCACGAGCATTAAGCACTTGAGCGTAAATTAGATTAACAGGGAACAATTTCATTTAAGAAACAAACACACAGAAGAATCCTGTGTTAAAAATGAAGACTGCAGTGAATATCATGAAATACAGGAGATCCACCAAGATCGATTCTTTCCTGCAAGCCTTTCCACCCGGCATTTCCCAAGCAAGGATGTAATGTGTAAAAGAAAGAAAGAAAGAAAGATAGAAAGAAAGCCAGTTCCAAACAGCCTCCTTCCCACCCTCGGGGGGCACAAAGGCAGGGCAAAACCCGCAGCTCTCACTGAATAGGACAGGACCAGGAGTACAACCTCGTTTCACTGATGCTGGGAACAAACCTCAGCAATAGGAACACACGGCGGCTCCGCAGCGCTGCCTTCTTCCCAGGACCGCCTCCCCTCTCCGAGCACACCGTGATCTCTTCCCAAACTCTCACCCACACCGTTCGGATGCTGCATCCCACCGCAGTGCTGCAGCCAGCCTGCAAGGAGCCGCTTCGCTCTGACCCTTTCCTTCCTCCGCCCCGATCTCAGCCCGTTTTTGTACCCAAACGCCCCATTATCTGCAGGTCTCTGTGCGCACCATGCAGCATCCCGCACGGGATGGCGATTTCCCCGGGCTCGGCCGGTTCGTGTTTTGTATAAATTTGTGGCTGAGGTTATTAGAAAGGAGCGGCTTTGGTTTTAAACGTGATTTGATTTCAAGGCGCGATTATAACGTTAGTCGAGAGCGGGGAAGAAAGAGGAGGGTCCGAGATGAGGACGTTTTCATTTCATCAGACTAAGCACGTTGAGAAACGCACGCCCCGACCCTACAAAGGAGATAAGCACCAACTTTGGGGCGCTGGGTGCAGCGGGACACACGGGGCTGCCCAGCATCCCATCTCACACCCGGACCGTGCTGGGGCTGACAGCGGTTCTCCCAGCACCCACCGCAGTGCCTTGCATCGGGGCGGTGTGAATACCCAAAGGACAAAGCTGCCTTTGCGTGTGCGTGCCCCGAAACTCCCTCTGCCTTTTTAATTTGCGTTCTTGTCCCACCCGAATATTTTTATATGCCTTTCGTATGGCTATCAGCGGCTTCACGTACAGCAACAGCAGCGAACGAACAGTTGTTTGCACCAGGAACCGCACACAAATGTAAGAAACAGGATTTTTTTCTCTCTCTTTTTTTCATTCAGATGCAATTTTGTAAACGATTCTTTTCGCCCCTCTCGTCCTAAATTCTTTCCCACTAAACTGAAGGGGTTTCCATCGCTCATCTCCAAGCATTTCAGGGATAAACACATCCGGATGCAGCCGAAGCTTTAAGGGCTGCGGGGGGAAAGCGCTCAGGTGGAGCTCCTCCATTCTTCCAAGTGTGATGGAGATGTGTGGCACCGCAGTTGTGCGTATATATGTACATATAAATGAAAACGGCCATCCTGAATTATTTCTAAGTACAAGGCAAAAGACACCTCGGTATTATCCATACTGAAAGCTGAGTGTTATTTTTCCCCCTCCTTTATTATTTTACGTGGAAAATCCACGGAAAGGAAGGAAGCACGCAGGTGTGTCAGCCTATATTGCATGTATTAATCAGGGTCACAGTTTTCCTGCACAAACCCGCACGTCCTGCGATCCAAAATACCGCATAAAGTGCCGGCGGCACCACAGAAACCCGCATCTGTTTCTCGGTAAGAAATAAAAGACTAAAAAATAAGAGGTAGTAAAGAGAGAGCCTCTACCCCACAGCTGTGCCGAGGGCAGCCCGGCACACGCAGAGCCCCCACTGTGCCCCTGCGCAACTCATCCAAGGGAAAATAAAAGAATAAATCTTTGGTTACCTGGGAATTAAACCCGTTTCCCAGGCAGAAAGGGAAAGGCGAAGCGAGCGCGGATGGCGGCTGCAGAGCAGAGCTCAGAGGCTGTTGCAGGAGGAGAGGAAACGGGAGCGAAACTCGTGCAGAGGAAGCCTGCAGGTTTCCCTCACCTGGAGCTGCGGAGGAATCGCGGCTGTAAACAGCACCTGACAACCAGGGCGATTCGCTCCGTGCAGCCCTGCAGGGATGGGGTTATTCCTGCTGCTCCCTTTTCCCGGATGGGAATCAGCTGAGCGATGCCCCCCCACCCCATCGGCCGCTCTCAGCACACCCGTTCAGTAACCACACCACGCAGCCACGGAACACCTTTATTTAAAACCGAGGGGACTTGAGGGAATAGAGAAAAGTCCGATGTTTCAAAGGGAAGGGAGAACTTACAGGGAACTGCTCGTTGGTTGGTTTGGTTTTATTGATTTTTGTTAGGCTCTCCCTCGCTGGATTTCCAAGCAAAGTTCAGGCTTGGGGTAACGCTGGGATGAAGCCAAAGAGGCAAAAGGAGCCCGGGGGTTTCTGTTTCCCTCCGTACCAACACCAAACCTCGGCACCCCGCAGCACGCGGAGCTGGGGGAGAGCTGTAGGGAGGCGCAACGCCGCCCTAAGGGATCCTAAAGGCGGTGTGGGGCGGCGAGGATATCCCCGTCCTCCAGGATGTCCACCTCGTCCTCGGGGTCCTGCAGCAGAAAGGGGCCGGGGGGGACTTTTCGGGGCTCGGCTGCGGGCGGCTCTGGGAGCTCGGGCTCGGGGGAGCTTTGCTCGCGGTTCTCCTCGTGCTTTGGATCGTCCTGGCTTTTCCGCAGCTGTTTTTTGTGTTTCATCCGCCGGTTCTGGAACCAGGTTTTCACCTGGAGGAGGAAAAAAAATAAAATAAAATCAAGAAAAATATAAAAAAAAAAAAAAAAAAAAAAAAAAAAAAAAAAAAAGAAAAGAAAAATCGGGAAAGAAAAAGGTATAGCAAAAGGGGAGGGGGGGAGGCTGCACGGAGCCCTGCGGCCCCGTACCTGCGTCTCGGAGAGGCTGAGCGCCGTGGCCAACTCCACCCGTTCTGGCGTGGAGAGATAACGCTGGATCTCGAAGCGTTTCTCCAAACCGGAGAGCTGCGAGTCGGAGAAGACGGTGCGGGCTTTGCGACGGCGGCAGTGCTTGCCGGGCAGCTCGGCGTGAGCGTGGTGAGGGAATAGAGCCGGCACCGGCACTCCTGCGGGGACACACGGCGGGGAGCCGGGCTGTGGCCAACCGGAGCCGGGCAGCAGCGGCTCTGCGTGGGCTTTCCCTGTGCCTTTGCCCCCCTGGATATATATGGGTTGTTTTTTGGTTTTGTTTTGTTTTTTTTTTCGTTTTTGAAGTCTTAGTTTTTATTTTGTTTTCTTTTTATTTTGCTTTATTTTATTTTATTCTCTTTTATTTTTATTTTTTTCTCTCTGAAAACACCCCATCCGAGCCTTCCCCAGCAGGTGCGGTTCAGCCGATCTCAGAATCGGAGCGGTCACCCTCCGAGCAATTAAACCCAACGAAATGTACCCAGGAGACGGGAGAAAAGCCGAAGGAAGTGAAGGCAGTGGGAGAGCGGCCACGCGGAGAGAAACTTCGGCCTCCCGAGGAGAAACTTTGGAGGAAGTGGCCCTGGAAAGGGTTCGGGGGGACGGACGGGCGCGGAGTCTCCCCCCACCCGGGATGCTTCAGCACGGCCCCAGCGCTGCTGATGGACGTGGAAAAGTGAAGCCTCGTCCCGTTCCAGAACCATAATGGTCTCGGTCCAAATATAAAAAGAGTTCAAAACGAAACAAACGGGCAGAGGGGGAGAGGGAAAGCCTGGCGTCTCTGGGCTCAAGATCTCGGCTGGTTGAGATCTCCGATCCCCGCTGACGAAGCCGGTGGTTCGGCAAGGCAGGGACCCGAAGCCCAAAAGCACAAACCCGCACCCCGCGCGGGGCTGAGGAGCCTTTCCCCATCTCGGGTTGCACCCGCAGAGCCCCGCACTTACCCGAGGTGGTGAGGAAGTAGGGGTGGTGATGGTGGTGGTGCTCCGGTTTGTGCAGGGCCGGGTGCGGGTGTGGAGCCAGCAGCGTCGGGGCGGGCATCAGGGGGTACCCATAGTCCAAGAGCGGGACGCGGGAGGCCAAGGAACCGGCGAAGTGCTCGGGTGGAACCTCCCGCAAGGGCTTGGGCTTGTGCAGCAGGATGTCCTCGATGAAGAAGGAGGTGGGTCGGGGAGCGGGGACCGGGTGAACCGGAGAGGTGAAGTTGAGGTTCATCTCGGAGAGACCCGCGTCGGATTGCGGGGAACGGAACGAGCGGGGCTGGGGGCCGGAGGAGAAAAGACGGCCGGCTGCGCGTCCAGGGAGAGGAGATGGAAAGGGAAATAAGAGGAACGATAAATAAGAGCGCTAATAAATAATAATAATAAAGCGATATTAACAATAAGAAGGGACATAAAAAAAATAAAAATGAAAAAAGATTCCCCCAGACAGAAGGGATAACGGGGAGAGCCGGGGGACGCGGAGCTGCGGGATGCGCGGGGCGATGCGCGGCTTTGAGGCGCGGGGCCGGGAGCGCTTCGAGAGCCAATGGCGAAACGGGCGGGCGGGGGCGGCGCGGAGGGAACGCGGAATCGCTCCGCTTCCGAGCAGTTTTCCTCCACCCTCATCAGCCCCTTCCCCAGCGCCGGGCCGGGGGCGGCTTCCGAAAGCTTTTGGTTTTGTTCTCCGTTTGTCTTTAAACGCCAAAACTTAAGGGGAAAAAAATAATCAATGAGTTGCGCTTTCCCGACCTGTGCCCTGCTCCGCTCCTAACCGGTCCCCACGCACACAACGTGTGTTGTTCCACTTGTTACCCCGGCGGGTTTTGTTCCCATCCATTCCCCACTCCGTGTTCTGCCAACATCCCCCCGCCCCCCCTCCCGCCCCCCTCGGTCTTTCCTCTGTTTGTGTTTTCCCCCCCCTAATCTGTAACATTCATTTCCCCGGAGTCAATTTGCTAAAATGAGGGTGATACACCACATCATAGCCGAGATAATTTCGCTTCGCATCTCAGAAAATTGCTCTAATTATTGATGTTAAACTCGGGGAAATTAAAAGAAGGCACTTCTCCTTCATCTCCTGATTTTAAGCTCTAATTTGTTGAAATCGAGTTGTCATCACAATTCCAATCACTACCGTTAATAGTAAAAGTGTTCTAATAGAGCCAGAATTCGCACAACCCATGCTATTAGATAATTAAGAAAGATGTTAGAAAGGCAAGTGCTAATCCTTGGGCACACGGACAGCGTTTCCATCTGATCCAGCAGGTAGAACAAATTAATTACCAGAATCAATTAGTCCTAAAAGTACAGTTCTCCAGGAAGTGTAAGCCACGTCTTCCATATGGATGAGCTGGTAAATGGTAAATAGATGAGGGGGAAAAAAAAAAAAAAAAGAAAAGAAAAAAAAAAACCTTTAAAAGAATAGAAAAGGCGACCGTCGGGTGACAACGAAGCTGCAATTCGGAGCGCCCGACTTTTCCAACTCTGCCGTCTCCGCTCCGCGGCCGCCGGGTGGAAGTGCGAGGATGCGGGGCTGAGCGCAGGGACGGCAGCGCGGGGGTGCGGGCGGCCCCCGGCCCCGACCCACTGCTTTTCTTAAGAAAACAGCGCTTAGAATGCCGTGAAAGCAGTTAAAATAGAGCTGGATCTGGGTGATTTAAAGGTCCCTTCTAACCGGAATCGTTCTATGATTCTATACGGACGCAGCATCGGTTGGATGCGTTTGGCCAAAGCTCACACGTGGGGCTGCCAGAGGGTCTGTGTGCTGCGTGCTGCATCTATAGATGGGATTTCTGCTTCTCTGTCTGTGCAGGCAGGCAATGCGTGCACCAAAACCACAAACACAGGTTGTGCTACGTGTGCACGGGAAGGCACAGTGCTCTCATCACACACTTGTGAGATATCTGTGCACATTTATATGCATATACACGCATATATATAGGTGCCTGCAGCAGTGCTGGGAGGGGGCTGAGCTGAAGCTCCTCCCACCACAGGGGGGGAAATAAAATCAAAACTGTGCTGCAGCATCCCTTCCATTGCCCATCCCCACATCAGGCCCGGGTTTCAGCTGGAAAGTTGAAAATACAACTGTTTGACAAGTTTCTCAGAGGAGCAAATGAGTAAGGAAATAAATTATTAGCAGGATGGAAAAGGGCCACATGGCCAAGTTGGTGCAGGGAGCACAGCCAAGGGTGGGTAAGCTGCTTGCCTGCCCATTTCATAAGCTGGGATTGCTCCTCTGCAATGGTTGGGGCTTTGCTCATCAGTGATGTTTGTGTGGAGTTATTATTATTTCTAAAGAAGATTTGGAAGATTAAAGGTGTGGTACTTGGGCCAGATCAGGTCTCAGATTTCGCCTCCATCTGGGGCAAACTCCAAAACCAAAAGCAGAGGCAGCAATGCTCTGTCTGTGGGAAAGCTGTCCCAGAGAAAGTGACCCCACAGAATGGAACCTCCCTGCACTGCATTCTCCACCATCTGGGATTTTCACATTAACTCTTCTGTGATTTTCTATGCCAGATACATGTGTTGGGCACCTCACACCCTCAGCAGGCACTGGTGGCAGGGTGGGCTCTTTGTTTTTTCCCCTTTTTCATCCATTTTTACAGGTCCCCACGGCAGGGCTTTCCCAGACCAACACCCCCAGCCCTGGGAGCAGCCCCAGAATCCCAGTTAGTCCTGCTTTGCTCACTGCCTGCTTCCCTTTCCATGGGACCCGACCAGGATTGCTTCTCAATGCTGCATCCTCACATCCCCCCAAGCACCACGAGGTGTGTGCAGCACCCCAGTCTGCAACCTGAAATAATTCACATCTCCTCCAGAGGCACAGCTCTGTGAGAGCAAATAGCCACGCTGCTGTGGAGTTGCTTTGTCGTTTCTGCAATCAAATAAAACTATTTCTGCAGGGTTAAAGAGTTTCATGCCTTTCCAGTAGTGATACACATACTCCCCCATCCCACTCCCCGGTATATGTGTACAAACACACATGATTTATTATGTTGTACTCGAGGGCTGTGCCTACACAAATGTCAATTGCCATTATTTGAACTCTTCAGATCATTTGAAGGTGCTGTGGGGAAATTTTGCATAGGAAACATACATTTATTTGACCTAAGGGATCATTTGAAAGGCTGGTGTAGCAGCGCTGATGTTGGTTTTATTTTGGTAAGTTGCATTAGGGATAAATTTGGTGCAGCTTAAAAAAAACACACACTTACCTTCCTGCAGCTCTTGAAGAGGCAGAGCAGCTTGGGAGCCCGGCCTTTTCATGCCTTTCAAGACAAATCCACTCAAAAAGGAAAGGTTAAATTAAAAACAGACAGCCTTGATACGCTCAAAACGGGAGCCTGGCTGCAGGGAAGAGGTCTGAAGAGCTCAGTTTGAGCAACCACAGACATAACATGCAGAGAGGGCTTTGAACACAAAGCGTGGCTTAATGGAAGATGTTCTGTGAGCAGTGCTGCAGGCAGAACCTCCCCATCCTGAGAGCAGTGCCTCTGCCCAGGCCTTGGGACAATGTGGCTGCAGCACACGGAGCCCACCTTCATCCCAGCCTGCTCTCCTCTGCAGCTCTCCAACATCATGGTCATTTCAGGGCTGCAGCTCTAGGAAAGCAGCACAGGGCTGCTGCTGCAAGGTGACAATGATGAGAAGAAGCTGAGGCTTCTATCACCCCCAGTAACTCCCAGAATTGCAGGGACAAGAAGAGAAATGACGCCACTCATGGGAAGAAATTGTTTTAGACAATAAATTATAGGTTGTGACTTCCATACGCAGCTCCCAAACCCAAATATTTACGCATGGTCTCAGGGATACAGTTCCTAAATCCAAATTTTGCCTTTACGCTGAAAATCTGCCTCATCTGATAGTCCTGACTATTTTCTGAATGTAGAGTACTTACATAAAAAGAAGGAAAACATTAACATTGACAGAAGAGATCTGGACTCTTTCCCAAAATTGTGACCCTTGCTAAGAGCTGGAATCTGTGCAATCTGTTTAATTATCTCAAACTCGTATGCAACTTCAGCTGCGTATCTGTACTACTCTAAAACACAGCAAGACCATTCTTTTCTTTCTTCTTTTTGTTTTTTTTTTTTTGTTTCCCCTTTCTCTTTTCCTTTTATGGGTCAGAAATTGGGAGAAAGGCTCGGATGTTTCCCTGGGACCTGCTCTCAATTAGTGTTCTTTCATTTGGTTACACAGCAATTCTCCCTCATCGTGTGGCCAACCCATGGGCATCACTCGCTCCCTTGAGACCAAGGTGATTATTTCATCCAGCACCATCTGTACTTTGGGATCTCAGCTAATCCTTTGCTCTCAAAACAATCCATTCTCGACGCTGTTGCTGCTGCTTTGCTGTTGCCTTTAGCACATTCATGCTCATTCGTTTTCTTTCATTCCAGCTGTGTAACAATCATGGGCACAACTCAACGTTTTGATTCACTTTTTTGCACTAACGATTCAGAACCCTCCTTGTTCCTCTCATTTCATGGTTTATGAACTGAATTCTCTTGTTTTTACCCTAATCCTTCTTTTCCCTTTCTTCTCCATTCAATCTTTATTTTACTCCCTTTGTATTCCTACTGTTCTTCGTGTTTTCTTTCCTATGATTATTTGCCATAATGTTTCTGTAGCTCCAAGTTCCTCACAAAAACCTCAAATGCTTTTTCTACTCAAAGGAATTGTTTAAAGATGTAATCCTGAGCCCGATGTCAGGCTTGTGTAAGTCAGGAATAACTGCAAGAAACAGCACATAAAGCGAAATGATGCAAATACTTGAATGCTTTTCAATTCCACTCTTTAATGTCCAACTGCAGAGTGTCTCATTCTGAAGTCTTACAAATAAGAAGCACACAAATGGTGCACTTTGAGGTCAGAGGGAGCTACTGTGTCACCCAGCCTGGCACACACCTCCTGAATCACATACACATCCAGGAGCTCCTGCAGCAAACTCATGGAACACATTCCATCCCAACAGCTGGTGGGATAAAAAGACCAGTTGTCTAACTCTTAAAGCAACATTTGATCCATCTTGATCTGCAGATGGCAAATACTTGCATGGAAACAGAGTGAACAAGCAGTTTTCTCTCTTCTCTACATCTCCAGCAAGCATCTCCACTTATAAAGACATAGGGTCTTTATATCCTGCCCAGCTCCATGAAAATCTGCATCTACACACAGCACTAAGCTTTCGTAGCCTTCAGTTGCAAGATCCAGCTCTTCTAGGCAGCAGATCTTGCAGATCACTTAGGTCAAGTCTCAACATAATGGCTTTTTTTTCCTGCTGTTGTATCGTCTGGTCAGGATAAACAAGATGCAGACAAGTGCCACATCCTACACACACCTCTCACACCGTGTGTAACCACACAGCCACAGACTGATGCTGCCTCAGCAGATCATTTCACTAAAAGAAAAGAAATCGTTTCACTTTGCAAGATAATTAAACCTTTTTCTTTCATGTTTGCTCCAACCAGATTGCAAAACTAGTTGGACCTAGTTTACAAAAAAGATAACCTTTTTGATGTTCAAAGGAAGAGATTGGTTCCATTACTTGCATTAGTCAGAGCTGTCCGTGCTGTGGCCTTCAGAATAAAGGGAGAAATGTACTTTAGAGAGATCTGAGTAACACACTTTACTCAAAACATTTTTGTATTATATTGCTTCTTGACTGTTTCAGCTTACTCTGTATCTGTGCACTTTATTTTAAGCACTCCAGAAGTGGATGACAGGTCTGGGGGAGAAAAGATAGAATCCAGCCAGCGTCCTGCAAATGCATCTTCAAATAATGCTTTAAAACTGAAAATTACATTTGAAATGGCATTTTCTATGTTTTCAAGGGTGAAGTATTCAAATGGTGATGGATGGAATATAACATTGCCTGACGTTAAAAATGCTTTCCATGTTTGTCAATCTTATTTTCAGCTGGAAATACTAAAATGCTCCTGATCACCTGGAACAAGAAGTGATGCAGATGGATGTCTTGTAATACATTACTAAGTTAATAGTTGCATCATTTTCCCACACTTCAAAAATGTGTTCTATTTATTTTGTTTAGCAACATTGGATTCAGTTCAGCTCTTCCTCATTCTGGTATTTTAATATGATTTCCTGCTAAAAGAAAAGAATTGTACATCCCCATCTATATCTCCTCCCTCAGTTTAACACAATGATGTTTTAATAGCCAGGTTCAGTCAGATTAGTTGGACAATTAGCAGTCCTGAACACAGACTTTTCCAAAATGTCTCAAAGCCAGGTGGTGGAATGGAGGAGAGTAACATTGCTAGCACTGCATGGGCTTCATTTCCTAACCCAGCACAGCCCTTCAGTGCTCACCTCAGGGTCTCCTGAACGCTGGCAGTGTTGGAGCATCATCCTCCATCAGCCCTTAAAGCATACAGATACTCCTATAGGAGGAACAGTTG